ATACTTACAGGCTCGCTGGTGCTGTTCCTGCACCAAAGCCGCACGGGTATGCGACGGTGCGTATTTTACAACGCGATGTTCTTGTCCCTCTTCCATCGGCCATTGACACACGATATCTCCGCAGCACGGATTCGTTGCTGAAGACGCTGATTGTGTATACGATGAACACCGGTAAGCCCTCGCCTCCTCGGCTAGCGTGTTCCAGTCAGACATTGATGTGTCAAGTTGCGCAGGACTCCTGATGAGGTACAGTTCTGTCTGCCTTTGCCAGAGGTATCGAACGATAACTCACTTGCCCGCAGCACATTGAGCATCCTCTCCCTGATTTTCGTACGCAAACCCAAGGCTACCAGATGTATAAGCTCTCTAACCCGTCCCGCAGGCGGTCATGCAGCCGCACATGTTCATCTACATCGCGCTCAATATGCCGACTGCAAAGAGTGGGTACACACGTTCTTCAAGGACCGGAACGAAGCACTGACTTCGGGCGCGATGCGTTCAGGTTATGTCAACTCTATGCTTGCCGTGTACGTCCGACATCCATCCTCGTACCCTTCCCGATAACGTCTGTTATCCACGAAGAACTCATCGAATTCCGGGCTTATAATCAGGCTAAATTCCCGCCGCGCCCTCGCCCACCGCGCATGCACCACGAGCCTCGGCTGCGATCTCGAGCACATCGGGTCCTTGGGGATGTCCACACCGGCGAGCACACCGTGCCCGCGCTCGACGACGACGATGGCCTACGACGCGCGGAACCGTACATCTGGCGCCTCCTGGGGAGAAGGCTCGTCTGCGTTCGACTTCGACATGGAATCGGAGGTCGGAAACGAGGGCGATTGGGCGCATAGGTCCGAGGAGGATGGGGTGGCGGTTTCAGGTGGTGTTCCGGCTGCGTACGGTGTAGTGAGTGGACTTCTACATCTCGTCATAGGAAAGGTGCCCTGACCGCCTTGGAAATCCTACAGCCACACGTGCACAAGCCTGACACGGCACATATCTCTGATGTATAGTAGCGGGTCGCTTCGAATTTCATGCACCCTCTACGTCAAGGACTATAGAACGTTCATGGAGTGCAGAGGATGTAGGCGTCACCTGCCTTACAGTGTTCGACTTCGAGGGTACAACCCCAGTACGTCATTCATTGCCTTGGGCCGTGCTCTACTCACCGTCTCCTTACGTGTCGAAGATATCAACGTAAGGCGATCTGCAACAGGAGATTGTGGTTACTATCGCATCTCTCTCTTCCATGGTCGTCATTGGCTCACGGGGCAGTCTATGAGCTACTTCCAACCGCAGCCTCGTGCTTACGCCGTCTCCGCGGCTGTTCGCTCCATTGACACGTTCGAGGGGTTATCCGTGGTTACAGATGTCCGAAGCCAGTGTACGCTCAGCTATCTGCATTCGGTACAGAATGCCGAACTCTTGGTCGAGGTGGGTCCCGATAATCTCTCGAGATGAAAGGCTTGCGCTCTCTAGGCGCCGGTTGCACCAACCTGCGGGGTTTCCCCGCTATGTACGGAGGTGAACTGCGGGGAGGCCTATCGAAGTGGGTTCGCGGCGCTCTCGGTGACAGGCCGATGCCCAGTGAGAGGAGTAGGTCTCTTGCATTCGTTTGGCGTCTCCATCGGGTAGTGGCGATGTAGCCTCCGACTGCGAGAGAGCTATAAGACCGGCTCGAAGCTCACGATCTCAACTCAGCTGCTACTTAACTCTGACCTCACGACGGCCACTCGCCTGGAAACGCCCAAAGTACTGGTTCGCATTTCGTCGACCTCACGATGCCAGTCATCTCCCCTCATTCCAAGATCATCGTCACCGGCGCAAACGGCTATATCGGCCTCTGGGTGGTGTACGAGCTGCTCAAACGTGGTTACTCTGTACACGCGGCCGTTCGATCTACCACCAAGGTCGAGACACTGACCGCCATCCTGAGGCGGCGGCTTCCTGAAGCTAGCGACCGCCTGACGGGCTTCGTTGTCCCGGATATAACTGCGGTAAGTTGCGTTCTCAAGAAGCTACGGCGCGTACACGCTGATACTGCGATTTGTATCAGGACCAAGCGTTCGACGAGGCCATGAGAGGCGTCGAGGGCGTCATACATACAGCGTCTCCTGTCACAGATTCGATGAACACCCCCGAGGCGTACATCGAGCCCGCTGTGAACGGGGTCTCGAGTGTCTTGGGAAGCGCGTTACGGTGCGCGCGTCGCTCTTTCCTTGTGCGACGCTATCTGAGGCTTACTCTGTGGTATTAGTTCCAAGTCTGTCAGACGCGTTGTGATCACAGGGTCGATCGGCGGTGTTGCCAACAGCATAGACCCGCCCCCCGGAGTGCATACGGAAGACCATTGGAACGACGTTGCCATCCAAGTAGTCGAGGAGAAAGGGGGTGATGCACCCGGGATCGTCATGTACGACGCGAGCAAGACGCTATCCGAGCGAGGTGAGTCTACCTGGTGTATCGCGCTCATATTCGCTTCTTGATTTGTTGCTGCCGCAGCCGCTTGGGCCTTTATGGCCGCACATGAACCCGAGGCGCACTTTGATCTCTGCGTCATCAATCCTTCTTACACCTTCGGGGTACGTCTCATCTGGACCACGAGATATTCGCATGGAGCTGACGGCGTGATGTGCCCATACTAGCCCGTAATCGATGACACACTCTCCTCTCCTTCGGCGCTCTCGGTAACGCCGCTGTTAATGTACAAGATGGTCTTCGCGACTCCAGCCCCGCCGGACCGCCAGCCGAAACGCCTGAACTACGTGGACATCCGCGACGTGACGGAGATACATATCCGGGCGCTCGAGGTGGAGGAAGCCGGAGGAGAAAGGATCATCGTGAATTCTGGTACGTCACTTCATGGTCGGTGACGGGTGGGCTCGTCGCTCATGTCCTCACGTACCATGTTTCAAACAGAGGTGGCAAGCTGGGATGACTGGCGTGAGTAGATGTCCCCGTGATCGTACGAACCCTTGATAAGACACTTACTGACTATATGCGCATTAGTCCACGCGGCCGCGCGGTTGGGCGTGGCTGATGTGGACGAGCCCGAGGTTGATCGCGAGGCGGTTGCAGACGAGAGCTTGGCGGAATCAGACCGTCCAGAGTACCCGTTCTTTGCCAACGACAAGGTGAAGCGTATCTTCGGCATCAAGATGCGCACGGTCCCGGATACGATGGAGGGCGTCGTGCGAGATTTCAGGGAGCGCGGATGGCTGTCGCAGCTCGCGTCGTAAGCACGTATCCCAGGAAGCACGGCTGGTATGTCGAAGTCTCTTAACAGCACTCATTCTTGTAGCCCTGGAAAGTCCGTAATCGTCTTATATCTTCCCCCTTCCCCTCTACTCTATGACAGTGTAAGATACTCACAGGTCTCGCCAGGCAGCCACAGAGATTTATATTACAACTCGATTACTATATTATTCCCAAGAAAGAAAGTAATGCTACACCGCCATATCATACACCGAATGTCCTACAGTTCGACCAGCGAACTCTCACCCACCAAGTCCTCAGGCCTGAGGTCTCAAAGCGCGCGCTTCAGCTGCTCATGAAGCTCTCGGCCAAACGTCCTGTACCTCAACTTCGTCTCCTTGACGTTGGTCGCCCTCGCCACGGCCGCACACGACTCCGGACCTAGCAACTGCACGCACTTGGTCTGCGAAGCAAGCGCGTCGTCGCGCTTGCGCCGGCGCCGGGTCCTGTTGAGGAGCACGCTCCCAGCGCTGGTGCTCCCTGGGCTGCTGCCCGGCGAGCTATCCGAGCGCCACGACCGCGCAGAGCACGGTGTGCGCGGGGTCGTCCGGTACCAGCTGCTCACGCTGCGCCTGCTCCCCGCGCTCTTTGGGCTCCGGCGCGGCGTGGTGGGTCGCTTGCGGCGCGGTGTCTTCGGAGCGTGCGGGCTGCCATCCTCGACCTCACCCTCAGCCTCAACCTCGACCGTGTCCTCCTCCTTGCCTTGCTCTGCACCGTCTCCTTGACCTGCAGAACCCTCCGCCTGCGCCGACGTCAATGCTCCCGCGTCATCCTCGTCCTCCCACTCCATCTCATCCTGCTCCCCGGAGGCGCCTTCCGCCGGGGCATCCGAGGATGCACATGCGGCCTGCGGCTCTGTCAGCGCGCGTTTGCCCTCCACCTTCGTGCGCGCGGACTTGACGAGACTGAAAGGACGGAACAGCCTCTTTCCGAGACTTCTCCGCGCCTTACCGAGGCGCCCGCTCTTGCCGCTCGTGCCACCCAGGAGTGGCGTATCCTCATCGTCTTCCATTGGTACATCGTACGGCAGCCCGCGTGCGCTCTCTCGCAGGCTCAATGTGGAGAGGTTAAGCTGGGAAAGAGATGCGCGACGGCCGTCCGACCCGCTCGCATCAGAGAGGCCGCCTGGAATCCGATGTCCCTCGCTCATGTCGTAGTCCAGGTCGGCGAGGGATACTCCCAAGATCCTGGCGGCCTTGCCTTTGTGTCTCTCAGGTGCATCCGGTATGTCGAGATCGTCGCCCAGAAGAGGGTGTGTTCTCAATGACGTATCTTGTTCGTTGTATTCGTCGAAAGCGGTTTCGTGCGCGAATCCGGACGGCAGGGCCATCGTGAACGAGTGAGGGGAAGACATGGGATGATGCGTCCGGCGCAGGCAGGGTATCTGAAGGGTGGTGAGAGGTGGACAGGGGAGGGGGATGGTGTGTCTAGCCACGCGCACGCAGTAGGTTTTATGGTGTCCAGCTCCATTGTGCAGCTGTGGCGGATTGACCTTTTCGACTCTTTGTTCTACCCAGGTGACACTGGTCTTTCACCGCGCAAGGGCGAGGGGTTCAAACGAACGTACAGTGGCACCACGATGACTCGGAAGGCCCTATGTATGGCGAAAACCTCCCCGGCGACGACTTGAATGTCAACGTACATGCACACCTACAGTACGTGCAGCCTGGGCTAACATAAGAGAGAGTACAGACGACGTTGCCTATTGTAGCCTACATTTTGGCAACATACAAGAAAGGAAGCACGGCCTGGTGGTCTAGTAGTATGATTCCTTCTTAGGGCTGTTGAACTCAACACAATTTGGAGGAGGTCCCGGGTTCAATTCCCGGCCAGGCCCACTACGTGAAGCTCTTCCTTTTTGCAACTCTCATCACAAAATGTCCTGCTCCAAAGAATAGCACGGGTCTGCAAGATAATTCGAAGAACTAGGAGTCTAAAACCGCGAGGATTTGCAGAGACCATCGACAGCACAACTGATAATCCGAACTTGATCCGGATAACCCCGAAGACGTTCCAGGTGATATCACCTTGTATATCGCATTTACTACACCAGTAGTACATCCCAACCCAGGCTACTGTTACATGAACGAGAAACGCTACATGGAATGGAGCATGAAGGAGCCAACAGAGAGGAAAGGTCGTCGCGCGCGTCGTGGACGCCCCGGCGCGAGCTCAAATGCCGCGCGGGGCACGGTCGTCTGCCGTCCGGCGGCAGTGAGAGAGTGGGCGGTAGGGAGTCACCCGTAGATCTTGAGCCACTGGATGTCGAAGTACGCGTTCGTAAACGCGGACGGGTTGTTGTTCACGTAGTCTGCGACGAGAGAGTAGGGTTAGTCAGACGGTCCATGCTGGTTGACCGGGGGCCCGGGACGACACTCACCGACGCAGTTGCCCGGGCAGCCGTCTTGGCCAAATACGGCGCCAGCCCAGTCGCCGCCTGGAGGGGAAGGAGCGTGGTCAATCACCAGCTCGAGCCTATCTGACACGACCCCAGATGGCCGGTGGGGGAGGGTGACGTACAGAGCGTGAGGTTGATGATGATGTTGTGCGCGCCGAAGTGCGAGGCGATGTTGCACGACTGGCTCGGGAAGAACGCGTACGGCGTGCCCTGCGAAGCAGAACCGCGGGGCCGACGTCAGCGGTGGCGCCTGCGAGAGTTATGGGGTGTGTGCTCACCCAGTTGTCCGTGTTGATGCTCGTCGCGCCGTTCTTGACGTCGCTGGGCACGGAGCCGTCGTTGCGGGACCAGAACCAGACCTTGATGAAGGAGTTGGTGCGCTCCATCGCATACCTGGCGGAACGGTCCCGATCAGCTCCCGCCTTGCGTCCGCATGCGAACAATATAACGTACCAGCCTCCGCCGGCGCTGTTGAAGCCTGGGCCATAGCTGTTGGCCTTGTTCGCCTGCACGCCGCAGCCGGCGTTGTTCGTGGCAGCGACATCGCAGTTGTTAGACCCGGAGTTCCTGTCAGGATCACACTAGCTCAGCACGTGCGCCAACAAAGGGAGCTTCTCGGCCAGGACTCACCCTGTCTGCGTGCGAGACGCGGGCATGGAACAGCCTGTATTGGCCCCAGATACGTCAGCCTCCCCAACAGAGCGCGCATGCGCATCGCGGTGGCACCCACCAGAGTTCGTGTGGAGCGTGGACTGGTTCGGGCCTTGGTCGTTGACGCCCTCCAGCACGTCGATCTCACCTGCGGAGCGCGGGAGGAGCGGTCAGAATCTCGGTATCACGGGCTCCAGCGGAGCGTGCTTCGCGTGGGATCGGGACCGACCTTGGTTGGGCCAGTCCGCGCCGACCTCCCACAGCGCGGGCCATGTCCTGCAGACGCCTGTCAGAGAGGGCTCTATCGGTGAGGCGGCGTGTTCGGTACTCACGCGCAGCCCTGGGGCATGTGACGGATGTTCCACCTGAGGGCGAGCAACGTCAGTTCTCAAGATCTCAAGGTCCTTGTGGCGGGCGTCGCCTCGCGGTCTCGGAAAATGGGGCTTACACGGTGACGTGCGTCGTGTACTGCTTGTTGCTCTGCAGGCGGACGGAGTTGCGTCCGGGCCCGCTGGGGCTGAGCACCGTCGTGTGGTCGGCACGGATAACGAAATGGTCGCCGGACGAGAAGGTAAGGTTCTGAGCGAGCGCGGTAGCCTGATCAACGTAGTTCCTGAACGAGCGTTCGATTATTAGTCCCCCTAACCTACGCTCAGACGGGATGGGAAGACGCTTACACTCTTCCGTGGGTGGGGTCAGCGATGGCCTGGTGCGAGAATGAGCTGAGGAAGCCGCTGCCTTGATGGCTATCCGTCTGCTGATACGTCGCACCAAGTGCGGAGGCGACCAAGGACGCCAAGGCGAAGAAGGTATGGGAGGCGAACATGCTGAAGCCGAACCGAGGGAGAGTGAAGTACCGCGACGTGTGCTGGGGAGGCCTCGACGAGGGAAGAGGAATGCAGCCCACGACGAAACGATAGGTATTGCGACGGGAGACTTTATACTGCACCCCCTCGCGCCCGACCCAAGAGATATGGATAAAAGAGGCCCCGCGCGTGGATCACGCTGCGCGAAGCATACGGAGCCGGCGATGGGTATGTCGGGATTACTAGCGCAGGACAGCAGCTGGCGGTAGAAGCGTCCGGGGGTGCCTCACGCGAAGCAAGGCACATGCCGCCGACCATTGGTCGGTGCGGAGGGGCGCCAGGCGTGATGGCGCTGCGCACATGAAAAGATGTTGGAACAGAAGACAAAATGGAAGGTGGGTCCCCACAGCGGTCGAGAGCGTCGCAAGACTTGCGGAGCGCACACACATTCGGAAGTGTTGATGGTGCGAGCCGCATCTGTGCGATTATCGATTGTCCACCCCGGACGGTCGCCATTGGGCGCGGGGAATGCGTGACAAGCATATGCTCAACATTGACAGAGGTCAGCATGACCTGTGCAAATTTCCGTGGACACATGCGGACAGCTCCCAGACCGTAGAACACTGACAAGGGAGCAAGTCATCTGAGGCCTCGTTGGAGCTAGAGCAGATGCTTCGCGTCGCCTGACATGTATGGTTAGTCGAGCTGTGCGCCTCTTTTCGCTCCGTGCGAGGGTGGATCGAGCCCGATCGAGCGCCGTCGTCCTAGCGACCTCCGCAGGGGCGAGGGCAAGGAAGTGGGGCTGCTATGGAGCGCGGTCTGCAATCCGATCAATGCACGCTGGGGAATCGGAGGAGGTACGCGCCGTGCCAGGGACCGCCGGTTTCCTAAAATCCGAGGGTTACCTCCCAGCTCTCGGTGTCTGCTTGTATTGTTAAGCCGGGAGCTGCGTATCTGCCAAAAATAGTAAATGCGGGAGAAGAGATCCCGGAACGAGGGTGGCGAGCGACATACCCTCCGCTTGGCTTCTTCCGAGATGTCCTTTTGGACCGCTTCGGTCGAGACCATGTGTTCGCGGCTATTGAACTATGGGAATGCGTTGAGCAGTAGGTAATCATCTTTGACCAGTCCAGAAAATCGATGTGAATCTGCACGAGTCTTTTGGGGCACACATGAGTACCTCAACGAGCCAGTCGCCCCATGTATCTTTGGCGATCAAGTCCGCAGGCCCAGAACAAAGAGAACCGCTTGTCAAGAGTGCTTGATCTAACCCGATGCTATGCTGGGTACTCGCCATAAGCAGTGAGCGCGGCGGTAGATATTTTCGAAAGAAGACGCACGATATACATTCTGCTCAGCCGTCCTTGGACCTCGATGTCGGGGCCATGTGGTCGTGGCTGATCTGCAACGCTCGTCCCGTTGCCATGATCCACAAGGCAGCGGAGAGCTACGAGCACCGAACGGGCAGACCATTGCCTCACATTTCAGTACATCTGTTCACAGCCGTTCAGACATTGAGGGATAGAGGACAAGATAGGTGTCCGTCGGTGATTGTTGGCGAACGGTCACAATGCCTTACCGCTGAGCAGCTGAGGACCTTACCCATATGTTGCGGATGCCGGCATGACCATGACAAACCATTCTTCGAATGATCAGCGTGTGCACGGGGGGAGCGATCCACCTTGAACAAGCCGGGTTCGGAAGGGGCGCTATCGCGTGATGCCGATATGACCCCAGTCGAGCGCATGGCCCTGTCGGCGGAGAGGCCAGAGAAGCTGTCGACAGTCTATCGCCGGGGCATTTCGCACCGGGTTCCGCGTTAGCAGGTACAGTGTGTGCCCAGCGGCGCCGGAGACGTTGGCGCGGACTCGGACAGGTGCGGCTACGTTCCGCTGAGCCATGCGGGTCAGCTCTGCGTGGCAAACAGGGGTGCGAAATATGTAAACGGGACCATGCGCAACTGGACTATACCTCCCATACTGTAACGTGCATAGTATATCGCCGCGGCGTAGCGCGTAGCATCCGCGGCGTGGCTCCGGGATCGTGGTGGGCGGAAGCAAAAGAGGGCGAGGCCATGCCGACGTGGCAAAAGGGCGATCGGCGTTCGCCGAGAGATTCGCCCACGGCTGTTTTAGGAAGTCCGCCACTTCGACACCGACCATGCGAGCGTCCGCAACCCGTCGCATAGTCGTTGCTATGCGATGCGGACACGTTGAGCTCAGGGTAAGGCACGGTGTCCGCGTTCATGTTGTAAAAATTACGATATTTCTCCATAGACCAGAGTGGGCCTCGACCATCCAGTCTCCTCTCGCAATACGACCGGAGCGCGTACGCGTACACCATATGGCGACCTCCCGGCGACAGAAGGGCTCGGATGCTATCACTGGCAGAGTATTGACCGGGAACACCGGGAGAAGCTGCCGCTTCTCAATAGGGGCACGTACGAACTCGAGAGGCGCCTTGCCCGGTCATCTCCGGCTACGCATTCGTCCTACAAGACGATCCGGAGAGCAGGAACGCAGGAACGCAGGAACGACCGTAACGGTCATCGTCGTACTGTGTGTATGACCATCGAAGATGCGGAGCTGCCCATACTCAGCGCGCGCGCGCGTATTGTCTCCGTCGCGATGAGGTCGAGGGTAGTGGAGAGACAGTCTAACAAGCCTCAGCAGGGGCCGGAAGTGCGTCAGAGAGTGGGGGAACTTGAGAGGGGCGATAGAGACGTCGGGATGCATCGCAAAATGTGGACATGTCTTCCAAAGGCTTCAACTCCAAACATTATGACGTGTGGTTGGTCTCCACCGGGACTTGTACTACTAGTAGGGGATTCACGGGTATGGATGGCTGGATGTTACCGATAGGGCCTCCGACACCGCGCCTATATATAACTACTGTAGGCGTGTAGATTCTCGATACTCGTGTATGTTGCTTTGGTGTAAGTATGAGCGCATTGGTGGAGCGAACGCGAAGATGTGAACTGCG